TAAATACTGCAAATGTCTCACTGACACCATGAAGTAAAAATACTTACTGAACCATCTATTTGCATTTCCTCCACACCAGCCAGGCTTGCTCCAATTCTCATGTGATCATTGTGAACTTCATTTAAGTTGCCTTTCTGAGTTGCTTTAGTGTTTGTGTGATCATTTGGAGCTCCATTTATGTCATCTTTCTGAGAGTTAGCCGAGGGAGACCTAATTTGAATTAAGGAGAAAGAAAAAAGTGCTTTCAAATTTACAATGCAGTTAGATGATTTTAGATTTTCTAATGATAGCAAGTTAATTCAAAAGACCTTATAAATGAACATAAACTTCCTAAATAGTTATTCATTCTAGCTGTTTCACATTTAATGGCCATGAGTAAATAAAGAACTTTAAACTGAGTTTAACAACTCTTAGCACTTAGAAATATGAGTATTACAACTTATAATTTAGAATTTCATTAGGCATTTTTCTTGTTTAAGGATAGTTTCATAGAGAAACATGAACTCTCTTGAGTAATTGAACTAAAAAGCCATTTAAACTTCCATACAGGCTCTCCCTGTAAGTTGTCTTCAGTTTTAATAAATTTTACCTTTCAAGATTGAGTCTTAAATCTTAATTTGTACACCTTCAAGTCTAAGATTTTCAGAGGGGCATTATAGCTTCCATTCCAGAAAAAATGAAATTTCAGTTATACAAGCTCAGCCACAGCCCTCCTCACCACCTTATCAGTGACCAAAAATACAGGATTTTCAAATAAAGTCTAAGGACTAGTAAAAAGGATGGCCTCTCCTGCAGTGTATGTTTTTCTTATACCCTCAGACTACCACAGTAGGAATCTGTAATCATATTAATCTCTAATTACCACCAGTCAAAAAAAACCTTGAAAGCATTATTCAGTCATATGAACAGCACAAGGCATATCAGCACATATCAACATCACTCTTATAAAGGAGAACTAGCATAAACCATACACCAACCTTTTACGTTTTTTGCTTGAACCTCTCTCTTTGACAGATAAAGTATGGTTGGACAGGCTTAGGTTACGTTTTCTTACATCTGTTGAAAGCAAAGAATTTAGAATTTCTTGTGAACAAGTTTGGGAGAAACCAGGATGGTCAAAGGCAGAAAATGGGACAGATATCCATCTCTAAATTCAGGGAAAGTTTCAAGGAGGGGATGTTGAGTGGTTTAATCAGCGCACAATAGAAGTAAAAAGACACACACCTGATTTTTAAGAAAAATTGAAAACTACAAGAGTAAGATTATTAAGTCTCTTTAATTGCTATTATTTTAAGGGTAGGCAGGTAAAATTTTTAACTGAAAACCAACAATAACGATGCCAAATGTCAAGAAAAAATAGAATGCATACAGGATACATGCATTCAATTAAATTTACTGGCATAATGAAGTAAGAAATATAAAGTTTGTGTGCATGTATTTTCATTTTAAAAAAACAAAAAAACCACCTAAGCCAACAACCCCTCACTTTCATACAAGAAATTAGCTCTCAAGAGAAGCTGTATAATATATATATAGTATTGTAGAATGTACTCTATTGGGTCTGGCCTAGATGGAGTTAATTTTCCCCACAGCAGCCCTCACAGTGCTGTGCTGTGCCTTGGTAGCTGGAAAGGTGTTGATAACACACCAATGTTTTGGTTACTGCTGAGCAGTGCTGGCACAGCATCAGCGCTGTCTCCCCAAATTTCCACTCCCAAGCAGTAGCCTGGCAAGATCCTGGGAGAGGACATAGCTAGGATCGCTGACCCAAATTAATCAAAGGGATTTTCCATGGCATATGGCATCAGCTTTGCTATAAAAATTAAGAAAAGTAGGAGGAAGGTGGGGCATTTCTTTTTCTAAAATGTTTGCATTCTGGAGCAATAGCTATACATGCTGAAGCCCTGCTTCCTTGGAAGTGGTCAGACATCACTTGCTGATAGGAAGTAGAAAACAAAGCCTCTTCTTTTTTCTTTGTTTGTGCACAACTTTTGCTTTGGTGAACTGCCTTAACCTTCAAGTTGTCTTCCATCTTATTTTCTCTCCCCAGCTCAGCTGAGAGGCGGGGGTGGTAGAGCAGCTTGGTGAGCACAGGGCAGCCCAGCACACCTACTTTCCAATGGAGATTGGTAGCGCTCAACAGCTTTCCTCTGCCGGAAGGAGCGACGCAGGCCATTGCTGTCTTTTCCTTTGTTTCCTTCTGGTGAAACCATTGCACATCAACACAATATTAAGTTGTGTAAGTACTGTTACAAATGTGATGTATTCAAAACACACTACATGACATATTCCCACCCATCCACAACTTTTTGTCTTGTTAGCATTTTGGAAAAACATGGATTTTTTTTCCTCTGGCTACCTGTTCTGAGCTCACTACAGTACAGCCCTAGAGCTTAAAGCTTGTAATGGCATTGGCAACATAAATTCTTTAATAGATGAAAAAGAACAAGTAGTTCGGCCCATCTCAATTATTAAAGTCAAGGCTTTTGGCGAGATTGTGGTCAAGAAAATTTAAAGCAGAAATAGCCTACAATGCTACCTGGATCATCAGGGGTTTTTCTGTTAGTTCTTCCCATATTGAGGCTTTCCTCAAGAAAGATCAGTCAGAAATATACAAAAAACATTCCTTTATATTTTATCTTGTTTTATGTAAAATTTTATTTTTGAACATTTTTATGTTTAGAAAATATCCTTGTATTGGAAGGTGAAAGTGTTTCTGAGTTATCTCACTTGTACTACATTTCAAAGGGAGCCTCAGTAAAACAACCTCCAGAATATTCATTTACTATTACATGACAAGGGATGAGCAAAAATTTGCCTTAAGACACATTATTTGGTATTTATATAGGAATATTTTCAAGGCAGCTCATATACACAAAAGATTAAATTAGGCACAGGAGGAGCAAATGGGAGCATCTCTCTGATACCCAGGATTAATAGCAAGTATTTTTTCTCTAAAATATGCTTGAGTACATGTGATAGTTAAACACTTCACCAGATGCAAACAAGAGTGTATCAATTAATCCCAGGTAAATAATCCAAGAGTGTAGCAGAACCTAGGACAAAGCAATTCCTGGCAAACAAAAAAAAAAATCATCCTGGCCTCTGGGAGATGCTAAACAAAGTATGGAAAAATCTGATTTCATTAAAAAATAAACAAACAAAGAAACAAACAAACCAAAGAAAACATACAAGAATTCAGATCTAAACAAAAAAAGACCTATCAAAGCAGGCTATGAAGATGTTCAAAAAACAAAGCACTTGTCATTCAAAAGGACAGTGGACTAACTTAACAGACGAAAATTAAGAGGGAATTTGGCTGCTGAATATAATTTTAATATGACTTCCTCTCACAACAGATGACTATTTGAGCTCGCAGGCAAGGCTGGCAAAAAAAAAAAAAAACAAGCACAGAGAAAGCACTCATCAGTTTTTAGTAAGATTTGAAGTGAAAACTCAATCCCTGGAACAGCTATTTATAAGTAGAGTCCATTCAAAAGTCATAAGGCAATTCAGAAAGCATAGTTTATGGCATGTATTGCAGCATTTCACTGCTATTTTTGAGTTTCTTCTGAAGAAGATACTCCTTCACCCTTAGACTGTAGATGTGATACGACTGTAAGGTATTAAACTATAATTAGAGAACAAAAAATAAATCGCTTTCTAGAATAAACTATGCTTTCAAAAAAGTTTGTTGACCTAAATTAAAAATACAACTAATAATTCCTCTATGTGAAATACCCTACAAATGTTCTCCCCATCATCCACTTTTTTGCCAGACTGCTTCTGAACTACTAAGATATAGAGCTGATATGTAAGAGCAAAGATAAGCAGGTACAAAAAACTTCATTGAAACCAGCACATGCAGTATGACATTTCAATACAGTGTGCACAAAGCAAGTCATTGACCTCCAGACAACTTTTCAACACTATTTAAAAATTAGGTCAAAAAGTTTACTTTTTTACAGAGAGATTTAAGAACAAGTGGTTAAGCATTTGCAAACATACACCATTTTCAGGTTTATTTTCCCCTCTTGCTGATTGTAATAAAAAAAATATAATTTAGCAATTAAAAAAATGAATTCTGAAGATCATATTATGATAACAGAAAGAAATTATGGAAGTTTGTCATCACACTTAGGTTGCTCTGCATGATAGCATTAAGTCATTTTTAGTTCACAGCCTTCCTCAGACAACAGACTCACAGAGTGTGTTGGAAGGAAGCGACAAGGACCATCAACTTCAACTCTTAATATTGCTCATTCTTCTTGTAACTGGAATGACGGTCTTGCTCTGATTTTCTATGATTGTATATGGTAGAAAAAACATCTCATTGCTGTTACACTTTGCAAACCTTTCAGAAAACAGTATGTATGGCTTTTACAGAGAGAATTAAGATACAGACACAGAGACAGAAACACTAGGACTGCTTCATTTTGTATCCAACCTTCCACCACGTCTCAACTCAACCTGGCATTACAAAATAATTTTAAGCAGGAAAGACAAATTACTAAACATCAAGGTGCTTCTGATGCAAGAAAACTGATTTAGAGGAAAAGTTAAATCTACTGAAAGTCACAACATAAAGTGACTGTTTTGGAGCATAAGAACCAGCCCACACATAACAGAAGCTCAGGTGTGATGATCTATCTACAAGAGGCAATCCCAAAATGAGGACACCAGTAGCCAATTTAAGCTGTGCCCAAATTGTTTACACATGAAACACCTGCCAAACACATCCTTCTGAACATACTCTGAAGTCTTAAACAACCTCAAGAGCCTGTTGCAAAAAAAAAAACAACTCAGGTTCAAGAGCATGGCTGCATAGTACAAAGGCCAGCACTTTATGTAAAGTAGCACTTTAAAAATAATGACAGGACATACCCATGCAGGCAGAGTTAAAGAGAGGGACCCTGTGTGCCAGCTGTGGTGGAATGTTTACAGAAAGGCTGTGAGGTTGCTGAGCAACAGCCCCTCTCCACAGTTCCAGCCTTGGCCACGCCCAGCCCTGGTGCGGCTCTGTTCTAGACTGGTCCATTTGGAGCCTGGAACTTCACAATTACAGCATCATGGAACGGTTTGAGTTGGTGGGAACCTTTAAAGATCATTTCATTTCAGCCCCTCTGCTGTGAGCAGGGACCCCATTCACTAGACCAAGTGGCCCATCCAAGCTGGCCTACAACGGGGCGTCCACAACTTCTCTGGGCGCCTGTTCAGTGCCTCACCACCCTCACACTAAAGACCCGCTGTATGTGTGGTGGTACGTAGGAAAGTCTCAGCCTAAACACATTTATCTCTTGCTTCCAGGAATACCTTTTCCTATTGTCAAAAGAAGAGAAAATCCCTAGCCAATATTATGCATAAAGCCTTGCTAATAGGGCTCATTTAAGTAGCTTTGCAAAATGATGAAAATCCCTAATCACTTTTAAATTCACTAAACAAAACATTGATTTGTAGTGGTGTAACTACTTTGTCAAGTCTGCAGCTTTGGTGGACCTCAAAATCACCTTTTCTTCAGCTTTTATCCTAACCCATACTACAGAAAGTATAATGTGAAACTGGTTTAATAGGATTATTTTCCAGAAATACAAATGAACTGGCTATTACTTCCTTTTAATTCATTATTAATTAGTTTCATGTAATCTGTTCCATTACTTTTTTCCAAGGAATTATGTGACACTGACAAGTTTATAATTTCCTGGTTCATTTCTTTTTTTCTGTTTAAATATTGGCATGTTATCTTTCCTTTGCACTCCTGAAATTTCCCATGTTGCAAGAGTTACGAAAAATCAGCATTAACAGTCCAACTTTTCAATAGTGCTTCTAAACCTGCAGGATACAGCTTGTCCAAACCTGGTAATTTAAAAATGTTTCATTTCCAGTTGCAAAGTAAAAATAGCTTCTGAAGCAGATGCAGTTCTTATCCCTCCAAATTAAACCAGTAACAATAGGAATGCCCAGGATCCCTCATCCCTTGAAGTAAGTTATAGAGGACAATGACACGAGTAACTTCTAACTGTGATACAGAGGAGAACACCACAAGTGAATGCTCTTTGACTTGTTAGTTGCTAAAACACAGGTGTTTCTGGATTGGCATATATGGAAACTGAGATGTAGGGAACCTTAGCAGTATCCACAGTGCATGTAGCAAACACAAGAGCAGAAGTCAGGAGGTCTGAACAACTCATGGCCTAACAGCTCCAGGCAGCTCCTCATACATCCTCCCCTATTAATCCACAGGTACCAACCAAATATCACCACATCAAAGCACAAAAAGTCATGTACAGCTGTTCATTATTAACTGATCATCTTTTTATTGGAATCACAGTTAACATTAACTATGAAAAGGGAAGTAAAACAAATTATTGCTGCGTTTTTTCGTTCTTTCTTTGTACTGTTTCTGGGGTTTGCCTCGAATGATTTTTTTTTTTTTTTGGTAAAGCAGTCAGCACATGTGGAATTGGCATGATGTATAACTGCAAGTAATTTTAAAAATAATACTGATAATAATTTTGTATTTTACATTGTCTTTTTAAGGAGATAAAGAACAAAAAAAGGGCAATGCAGACATACATACAAATATTGTGTTAGAAACCTAGAAAAACAGATAGGGAGATTGCATGTCAAAATGGACCAGTCAGTACAGTATGGATAAAAAATTATCCACATTCTATCTTTACTACTTGTAAGGGTGAAGTTCTGAAATATGCAAGCATGCATAAGCATAAAAGAATTATAAAGTCAAAGACAAAAAAAAAAATTAAAAATGTAAATAAATGTCTGATATAGTCTAGTAATAAAAGTCACACTTCCATATAGCATTTTCTGAGATATATTCAAGTAGGAAAGCAGCTGAGACCAACTGAAGCAAGCTATATATTGCCAGAGTAGCTAAGATGAGTTATAAATTTGAATTCTATTCCTTTATGCTTAGTGCTTGGAGATGTGGAATGATCCAGCAACAATAAGTAATCTTTATAAATGTAATAGTATATTTGCTTATTTGTGATTTAGCATTCTAAAACACTCAGGCCAAAGAAAGTCTGCATTAAGAAAACATCAGTGACTCATATTCAGGGGATAGGCAATACCATACCTGGGATTGCTTTTTTAATGCTAATTCAGCTCAGCTGTGTGAGTCTCTTTCCAACAGGGGTCATTTAATGAGAGCATTCTTTTTCAGAAAATCCTGTCTCTCTCAGATCTGGAAATAAGTCAACATTTGTGTTGAAGAAAATACTAAATGTGAGGCAGCCAATCCCTCATTTGCTGTAGAAGAGGAGGAATTTGATGAAATGAATCATGTAGCACTTGCAGAACAGTTGCTGGATTTAGGAATTTGAGTATTGTCCAAAAGAAGACACATTGCTCTTTTTCTATAAAATTCCATGGCCATACTGGACCAATTTAAATAATAATTTTTCAAAATTGCATTTAATTCTGTTTTCCCCATTTTCTATACCAAACTTTAAATTCTTATGCTTGATTTGTGGAATTTTAAAATCTCATAGTTGTAATTTAACATAAAGGAATTGCAGTTACCCACAGTTAGTCAGAAATTGAACTAAAGCATACCAGCTATTCATCTAAACCAAAGTGACTGTGATAATTTGTCCTATTTTCCTTTTTGTAGTATTCTTGGAACTTAGTTCCAGGGGACTATAGGCAGTCTGAACCTACTAATTACTATGAAAAAATCAGCTCCAAGGTACCCCGTCTTAGACATCCAAAGTTAGTTAGCAATTTTGATCATACTTCCTTTGTTTCCATCTAAAAGCTGGAATGAAAAGAAATAGAAATCTGTATATAATGTCTGAATAGTGTATGTTCACCAATTCCCTGGCTCTTTCCCCTGCTTCTAAGATAAACATCTATACTTGGATTTGAATCTCCATAAATCTCCATGCAGGTATTTGATGTGAATTTAAGGATCTCAGGGAACATCATAAAACTGATTTCTTGTGCAATGTACACATCAGCTTAACTTACTTTCAGCAAGCAAAGATGATACCACTGACACAGCTCATGAGAGTCAAGAGAAGACAAGTTAGTGGTTGTTTGTGATGTGCCTAGGTCCGTTCATGAGGAACACCGTAGAAAAGTCTGTAAGATATCAACAGTGTCTATGAAGAGCAGCATTTGAGCAGAGAGTGATAAACAAAATGCAAGATCACACGTTGAAATGGGGAGAAAATGAAAGTGAATTATTTGGCACCATCCATTCATTCCAATAAATGAGGTAAGGGTGTATAGAAAGAAGAGTTTATGATCTGATAATGCAAGGCCATTGAAAGGTGCCTTTGCAGGGGGGCTTAAGCTTGCATGGATATTTTTAATTCTGACCTATTCTAAATCTTCTGATCTTGTACATTTATGTGCCATTTCCTACATTTTTGTTAAAATAAAAACTGTCTACTTCACATTCCAGAAATATACATAAATGCAATTGATTTCTTATTACATTTCATTGGGACTTTTGAGTTCCCTGATTGGTTGAAACTGCTAAACCTCTATATTTGAAGTTTGTATCATTAACAAATACAGGCTCCAATTACACAAACATACCATGACATATGTTATCAGTAGGTACCCAATTCATTAGGGAATTAAATAGTTGACACACTGACAAGAAATTACATGGAAATAACACACTCTGTTGGAACTCAAAATGTCCCTCAGACATTTTTGGAGGTTCCAGGCCCTGGTCAGAAGCATTTTAGACCCTGGCAGGCAGCTGGAAATGGCTGTGATTTTGAGTTTGAGCCATAGAATGAGTTAACAACTTTGAAGGTGGAACAAGCGGTCACAAAAGTTTAGATATTATAGTAGAAGTAGTTACAAAGTAGAGGGGAGAATTTTTTAGCATTGTACAGGGGGGTTTTAGCACCTGTACAGGGGGGGTTTTACTTTGTACATGGGGATCAGAAGTTTTAAGATGGAGGAATGTAGGCCGGTCCTGTTCCTCCTCTTTCTTCTTCCTTACCTCCATGTTCTTGATGATGTTGGCACTCACAGATTGGTTTAGAGTAGAAAAGCGACATTTAATATAGGTAGTAGGTACTGGGGAAAAACTGTAAATATGTATCACGTAATGTACCATGTAAAAGATAGCAGCAGCCCTGGGCGGGGAGAGAACAAGAAGACACCGGACAGTGAGGGTGTCAGCGTGTGTGTGTGCCTCTGCCTGAGCTGCTGAGCAAACCACAGTAGCCAAAGACAATCTTTTAGATAGCTTGCAATAAACTGTCTTGAGATCGAACAACAAGAGGCTGCTGAGTTTCTTTGGAAGCACAGGCTGGAGGAGAGACTTTAACACCACACGGAACCCCTGAACCACGCCGGGGCTCCAACACACCCAATTGAGCAACTTCCCCCTGATGCCTGCTTTTCCTAATTATCTGGTCTACAACACAGTATTATTGTTACATTAATTTTTTTTTCCTCACAACTTTCACTCTTCTCTCACATATTAAAATATAGATTTAAATAAATTACTTGAAAGTACAGTTGAAAATCTGTGGCACTGCCACACCTGTATTTACAAATCACCGATGGATGCTTTGGTCACAGTAAAATAATTTCTTCCATTTACAGTTCAGTTCTTAAAATATAATTATTCTACAGTGATGAGTCTCATGATATTTTGAATTTAAACAGCAAAAGAAATGCTTTTCCAATAGCACTATTAAGCGAAATTAAACATTGTTTCCTTTCTTGCATTCAGCAGGATCCAGTCTGCAGCTCAGCTGTATATACTGCAGTCCTCACGTGTATGAACTTCTCTTCAGACAGCTTGTTAAAAGATATAATTTTTTCTTCAAATTTTCATTCTGTGTGCATTATCACCTTGAGAAAAGCCACTTGCTATATATATATTTGTTTTAATTTGGGGACTCATTCCAGTAAGAGTCAAACCCTTTTAAACCTTTTATTGATGACCACCCTCAACTTTGGGTACCTGTGAAGAATTCTTTATCTATAATTCTGATCTCTAAAATTGTTATATATCAGTGAATTGAGTATTCACTGATATGATTACTAGTAACAAGATTTTTTTCATTCTACTGTGTTATATGTACTGTGTGTTATAATACACAGTATTACCCTGTAAGACAGTTTCACAAATACAATATCCATCAGATCATGGTGTAAGAGTGATGTTCGGCTGGGGCCATCTGCTGGTTGTGTTGCTGATCTTTCATTGCCAGATTTGGAAAATTACTTTATATTTGTAATTCTATTGTAATAATAAAAATAACAGCATCTATTAATAATCACCTACATATATGATGGTTTTAATGTACTTTATTTTTAAGATTAAATATTCCATGAACTTTATAAGGCCCAATCATCAGAAGAAAAAAGATTTAATTTATCTTTCTTTCATAAACAAAATAAAAATGGAGAGGAGGAGGATTAAAAAAGCTCTTACTTCTCAATAACACCAAAAAGAAAGCAAGGAATAAAGTTATATTAAGATGTAAATTATTTAGAAAAGGAATCTACGTATCTTTAGCTTTTATTTCTGTGATGAAAAGGATAAATAATTCTTATTGTCTTTCTTGATGCCTTGTGAGATTTCACATTGAATTTGTACGTGTTGTTCTAAAATAGGTAAGATGCACCATGTCCAATTTTCTTGCTATTTAAAAAGATCTCAGTCAAATTTATTTACTTCAAAGGCTTTTATTAAAAACAAATTAATGACAAAAAAGTAGCAGATGAAAAAAAAATCAAGTCTTTAAAACCAGAAGTTCTAATCAGTGAGCTACTGCAAACTAACAATAATCCAGACAATTTATTTCAGTGTGAGTGTATTTTTATGATGCTATTATGTATTTATTCACTTACAGTATGATAATATTGATAGTTATTTGCATTGTGATTGAGTCTTATTTCTAATATTGCAAGACTTTATGCAAATTTTAACTGTGTTTTCAGGAGCAGGAGAAAGCATTTTACAGATTTTGCAAGTTTAAGAGAGATCTTTTGCACCTATTAAATTAGTATACATATATATTTACGTATTTATACAAATGAAACCAAACATATATATCTATCAACTTATTATACTAATACCATGGTTTAGTTGATGAGGAGGTGTTTGGTCATAGGCTGGACTTTAATGGTCTTAAAGACCTTTTCCAACCTAGTTGATTCTGTGATTCTGTGCCTATACATACATATATGTGCATGTTTGCAATATATGTGTATACATCTACATATGTGTATGCATGCATACACACCTATATATCACATCAACAAATAAATTGTACTGTTTACAGTCTCAGTGAAACAAAATCCTTTGTTGTCTCTTAGTTGTACTGAGATTAAATATCTGCCATTATTCACATTTGCCTTCAGCAGGTCCATCAGCAGGACAGACTTCTAACAGGAGCTGTAAGTGGCAAGTAAATTTATCAAGAAATGGAAAATGCAATTTAAAATGTATAAAAGGCAGATAAATAAGAAGACTTCCAAGCATAAACAGGAAAGCGTAAGCATATTGCATGTTTGGAGACCAGACTATGGGAGCTAGAACTAGGAAGAAAGACATCGCCACCATCATAAATGGAACTGGTAAAAACACCTGTAAGAGAAAGAAAAAAAGTGGTTTAAGAAATAAATTAACCAACTGTGATTTTTTTGCCTCGTTCATTAGAGTAACAATGTGTTTGTTGCCACAGGAGGGTACTATTTCTCATGCTGCTATAAATTCACCCAGGACAAGGGTTATCTGACTCACATTGCCTATAAGAGAGGAATCTTTCTCTTCTTTTTGTAGTGAAGCAAATTTTTCAAATAGGGCTCTAAGCATTGAGATATATATTTTTGTGACTATCCACTTTGGATTTGCACTTCTATGACTTTTGCATGCTACTCAGGACTCAAAAAAATCTATAAAAATATTTTTAACTTAGATCCATTTACTTTGTATGGTCGGTGTAGATGAGGTTCCCGGTATCGAAGTACAATCAGGCTTGCACAAGTCAATCCAATCATAAGCCAGGCAGAAAATCCAAAGTAATTTGTTAACATAATAAGGTCAGAGGGAATGATAAAAATGGATGCAATGATGGTTGAAAAAATCATGGCTGGTGCTGGCGTATAGGAGTGGACATTAAGCATGGATATTAAAAGAGGTAAATGTCCTGACTGACTTCCAGCATAGCTTAATCGACCGAGTGTGAACATGCTGCAGTTGAGGGCACCAAATATTGAGACAGCAACAGAGAGAGGAATGATCCAGGCAACAGAGGGGATCACTCGATCAGCCCAAGTGACTGCCACAGCAACTGCAAGAAAGCAAAGAATTAGTGTAGTACAAGCACCATGTTCTGAATAACTGACAGACTCAACAGGAACAAAACTTAAAATGCAAGAAGCACCTATTATTTATCAACAATGCCTGCTTTTTCGTTGCAGTAGTCAAACACTAATCCAATCCTAAGGGTATTTCATTCAGAAGCTAAACATTTCCTGGGACGATGACAGCAAGAAGGAGTGCTGCCTGCCAGAGCAAGCCAGGGAAACCTGCTGGGGCCAATACCAAAGTCATGGACTGCCCAGCAGGCCACATCTCATGTCCTGCATCACAAACACACACAGCTGGGCAAGGAAAGAAAATTAACTCCTTGGTCCCTGGCGTGACCACAGTGGTGGCGCAATCTGCTGTTACAGGAAACTTGCCAACAGGAGCACATCTACGTTCAGAGATGAGCCAAAAAATGTGCTATTAATGAGATTTTGCTTTGGGTGGAACTGGGAAATGTGAAAGATTGTTTCTAAACAAGAGATACTCCATATTGCTAGGAAATTAGCTATAGCTGATATTGTAATGAGGACAATATTCAGTGGGTCTATAACCAAATGTCATAAGGAACATAGGTCTTGCAGTGTCCTGTGCAGCACATGAAGTTATTAGAGATGGGGAAAATAGCGCCTCTACCCTCAAAAACAAAAAAAAAAGTAGTGGAGGAATAAGAAATGTTTGAAAAAGTGCTATAATTTCAAGGTTATCTTCTCAGCTGAAATAGATAAAAGTTCCCCTGGTATGCATGAAGCTGGTCATGCCAGCTGGCAGCTGCTATTCATGGATAGTCTGGTATTTGCTCCCTCCTCATTGTAGTATACAAATGATCATCTCTCCCAGCAGACAGTCTGACACTGGCTGAGCAATAATATGAGGTTACTGAGTGACAGGTACACTGTTCTCATTTATATTAGTGAGCTTTTTTCATAGGAAAAAAAAATATTGATCCATCCAAATGAGGTATGGTTTTTGTCAGATCTGTAGGCAAGGTCTGACAGCTCAGTGTCATTACAGTGGGATTTAAAATGTGCTGCTTGGACAATCAAGGAGAAATACAGTTCTCTTTGGAGCTTTACATGGCCAGTTTACTGGTACAGGATCTGAGACAGGGTTTATACACACTGGAATTTTGTCTAGGCTCTTATGAGAGGTCACAGTATTTATCATGAATAATACACACCAAAAATCGATACATTTTTGTGTCCATAGCCTTTTCTATACTCCTGAACATGTTTGACTTGTCCATCTCCTAAAGAGTAATGGCTTTAGTCTGAGACTCAATAAGATAGAGAAAGGAGGAGGAGGAGATAGGATTAAAACTACAGAAAAACAAAGATCATCTCTATATTTGGGACCTGACTTTCACCTTATTTTCCAGGATTTAATACACATCTGATTTCTTTTTAGACAGTGCAGGGAAAAGCCAACAATTTCAACAATCTGCCTGCATTCATCCAATATATGTCATACAGTAAAATTAAAGACTTTTCTGTTAAAAGAAAATTAATACAAATTTCTGGACTGTGAAGTTAGGTTAGCAGAAGTAACCCAGGGCATTGACATCAGATGGATATGTCAATGGGCCAGTCCTTTTTAATTAAAAAAATATTAAATACATACCTGAGGAGACAATTTCCTTAGGTGTGAGGACAGTCAGATATGATATGTTCACTAGCAAATAAAAAACAATTACTGCAGGAACAGCAGTCATCACAGTTAAGGGGATATTTCTGCTGGGGTGTTTCATCTCCTCTGAAAAATACAATTTAAAACAACAAATGAAGCAAGCAGTGTAGCTTCTGCAAGTGGTTTTCAGTAGTGAAGCTGTGCAGAGTTTGACAAGCCTGATACCAAAGTCCTGCCCCAATCCCTAATCATGGCTGCTAAATTCTCTGCTTGTGAAGTCCTACAGTTCTCAAATAGGCTAATATCAAAGATTCTTAAACAATATTTTTTTACTTAGCTGTTTTTAACTATTTTGGAAGAAGGGCCAGATGAAGAGCTGATTGATTCTCAAAATGAGAAAATGAGTGATAATTTCCCTTTGATTTGATTAATAATGTATTTGACTTACATTAGAAAAGTGATTTGGTAGAAAATTTTCAAGTAGCTGTACTTGAAAATTACTAGCTTAAACATGAAACTCTTAAGTCACATTGTTTATTCTTATGTCGCCTCATGAATCCTGATCTGAAACTTATTGAGCAGATTTGCCTATTTCTACTCAAAACCTTTCTCTTTGCTCTTATATCAGAAGTAACAGAAAAGACCGAAGGTATAGACACAAGAGCAATAATGCAGTGGCTTTAAAAGGGGGCCATTCCCAGATGGCCCCCACTTTTTAATGATTATCATCTTTTCCAGGGCAAAGATGGTAGAGAAAAACTGTTTAGTGCAAAGCCTGATAGCCTAGAACTACTATTATCAAATAAGAAAAAAACCCAAATTTTGCAGGTGAATAAATTGGGCACTGTCACACATTCCTGGGCATGTCATAGTCCCACCAAAAGATAGAGCTGGTTTCCAGAAGCTTAATCTCAATCACCCTCATCTCAATCAGAAAGGTTCTTTTTAATTTCTTTCACTCCTTTCTCTTGCTCCCTTACCATTTCCCACTTCCCTCAGCATTTATAGACAATTTCCTGAGTATTACAAGCGAATAACTGATAAGAGGCAAGAAGTGAAAAGTGAAATGTGCAGCTTATTTGAACTCTTTTTTAGGAGACAGAAATCTGCTTCCTCCTTCACATGTGATTTCTATCTTCTGCTCAGGACATCAGCCTTGAGCCATGATCCCTGCGCTGGCTGTAGTGCATAGAGACAAAAATAAAGGACCACAATAGTGGAATTCAGATACTATCAGAAAATTTGGGATTTATTTCAGATATAAAAAATACACTTAGTAATTTTGAGCTCAGAAGAGGATAATCACCAAAATTTCCAATTTAAATTTATCTTTCGATTTGTTTTGTTGCTGCCTGCAGTCTTGCCAGCCAGCTGGCACCTGATCCATCAGCTGAAGCTCACAGAAATGAAGTTATTGTTGAAGCATAGGAAACTGAGCTCAGTTCAGAACTATGTCATAGGTTACATCTGTCTAAACAGCTGTGCTGCCTGGTGTATGGCACTTATTAGTACTGCTAACTGATCAGAATAAATAAGTATTTTACCAGAAGTCTTGTATTTCTCCGGCTTACAAAGCCAAGTGCTTGTCTTTAAAGAATCTCTAAGTTTTCAAAACCATACTTCCCTGATTTATATTTTTTTTAATTGCAGCCTATTTTTAAAGCTGGAGTACCTGGATTATAAAGACAATAGTCAGGTTTTTAAACCTGACTATAATTAACCAAATTTTCACACTATCCTCACCATTGAACTTTGTGGTATGCATTTAACACATTCCATTTATTTAATATTTTACATGATAGAGGTCAATAGATACAAATGGTTAAAGATATAACAGCAATATCCACTTGCTTACAATGTAATTCAATGAATCTTATGATATTATAAAACTTTATTGATTTAACTTGTGATGTGATTGCCTAACATTATGAACTTCTTCTCTGTAGCTTTCATTAAAAAATACTCATTTATTACTGCCATATGTCAGCAGATACAGATTAGGGAAGTAAATAGATATTCAAAAACCTTTTGAATGTTAAAATTGAGTATAAATTCTATGAAAAAAATTATCTTCCATAGACCTCTCTTTACCTTCTATTAGACTTCAAAAGTCTATTTTCCCAGAAAATATGTCCCATAAAATTACTACATTCTAACCGAAGTCAAAATTAACTTGTCCATGTTCAAACCAGCTGCATAACCTCAGCTAAGGCACAGATATTTAAACCAAAATTATCTATGCACCCATAGTTTGGCATGGATAACTTTCCAAAAAATACACTTACATGGACACTGAGAAAGACAAAATGCAAATTTTTAAGGTATGAAACATTCTGTTTATGCATGAGATTTAAAATTAACTATTATGATTTCTCTTGTACTTCCCTGAAAGTGTCAGCTTGTTTCTGCACAAAACACAGGAATTTTCCCTAGAGAGGAAAAACACCTCTTCCACCAAACATCAGCTCCAACAAACACTCATGTTAAATGAGAAGGACCCAGTAGTCTTGAAGCAGAGTCAAGTTCTCCAAAAACAAGCTGAGGAACACAAGAATGAGAACTGCAGAACTAAATCTTAAGGAGAGGAGCAGAATACCTGCCATGTAGTTGAGGGACCACCAGCCACCGTACGCGTACAGCCCCTGGAAGAAGGCTTCGGCAACCTGTGAGGCGCTGGGGATCTCTGAGGCAAACATGTCCTCAAACCTGGCCAGACTCTCCTTTTGCCTGGTAACGAGGAGAACTATGCCACCGACAGCAATCACAGACAAAGCCATCATCTTCAGCAGAGTGAAAACTGCTTGCAGCCACACAGACATTTTGACGCTGAGGCCATTCAAAATCCCCAGGGACCAGAGAACAGCCAAGGCCAAGCACTTCTTCAGCACATCTGGTGCAGGACAAATGCCATAGAAAGGCTGTGTGGCATATTCAGCAAATAGCAAGGCTCGAGCAGCATTTGATGCTGGCTTGTTGAATGTTGATGTCCAGATAAACACAAAGGCTGGTAGGGATCCAAGGCCTCTTTTAATATGGCTGTATTCTCCTCCGGAGAAGGGCAGAGCGGTTCCCAGCTCTGCATAGCAGAGGGCACCCATCAGAGAAACCAGCCCAGATGCAGTCCAGATCGTTAGAGCAATGCCAACATTGAGTAAGGAATGTTTTAACACCCCTGTAGGAGACACAAAGATCCCTGCTCCAACGATTGATCCTATAATAAAACTTACCCCATCAAAATAACCTATATTTCTTTTGAGTTGCATCTTGGCTTTTCCTTTTCTTTGTACATCTTTGGGGTCATTGTTTTCTTCTTTTCCCATTTTTTCGTGTTTTCTTTTCCACAGCAGACTTTACTTTGTTGTTAGCAGTCTGTCATAGTCCTTCTTGCTGGTGAAATGTTATGGGAAGCTTGGCTTAATCATTCAGCAAAAGAGAGCATACTTTGGGCTTTGATGTCTCCTGTGTGAAAATAATTAACCAAATACTTCAAGAAATTCCGGCAAATCATGTACATGTTGGTTTAATATGTACTTCAGAAATTATTAAGGTCTGAAAGTATTTCTAAAGAAAACAACATTAAAATTAATGCACAGTAAATGCTCATTTCTCAGACGATCTTCATCAACAGATTTCAATTTATTTTATGCACATCTTCAGACACAACCACAAAGGTGAGTAAATGTGACTTCTACATCAACGCTAGGGAAAGAGGAAGGCTATGGCAGCATGAGGAAAGAAATCAACCTTCCATATATTATTGGCAGTGACAGGGACATTTAAGATAAACATCCTGGCACTATTTTTCCACCATCTATATAGAAAATGGACAGTGATAACCAATGCTCACTAGTATGTTTTGCCAAAATCTCATCAGTCACTGGGTATATTAGAGCTTGTTTATACTTCACTCATTAAACACTACCCTAGAAAGAAAATTACAAGTTTTCTTCCCAGTTTTTTTCTAAGCACTAATTGTTAGACTAGTACTCAAGCATGTCCTGTGATGGCATTAATCTTTGGACACTGTTGTGAGGGAGAGCTGTATCATAATTTTCATTTCTGCACGGGGGCTGTGGAACAGAAAGAGGAAGGACGGAAGTTCACACTGATGTGGCATATGTCTTTTAAGGTGCAGCTGCTGATTTTTCTACATACTTACCAATCTGTTGTATATTTTGTATTATGAGCTTCTCTTCAATCAGATGTGGACGTATTACAATATATATATATATACTATATATATATATATATATATATAGTATATATATACTCTTGTACAAAATATGCAATTATTTAGTTTAAAAGATGCAGAGAAAAATGGGCAGAAAGAAGAAAGCTAACTGTAAAGAAGCTCAGCATAGACTCTAAGGGGGGTAAGTGCCCAAACTCCTAGCTGTGAAGTTCTTACTTTTTGTCAGTCAAGTTGCAGAACCAGTTTTGTCCTGCAGGTCAAAGCTCAGCAGTGCAGTGAACAAAACTCATGCTTTTACAGGGGTCAACTTGAAAGACACAGTGGTTTACACCAGTCTTGAACAGTAGGATTTCCACGCAAATACAATATAAATTCATCTGAAAATTAGTTTGTATAATATGCCGTCATGTAAGAAACCTTTGGCTAAAATAGGCATGTGCACAGACTGTTCTTTTAATTGTTTCAATGACCTCAAATGGGTTTCCTTCACCACACAGAAGCTTTGCAGCATGGTCAGTGACAGAAACTACAGCCCCAGAGCAGTTTCTAATAATAAGAAAATTCTTCCATTTTCTCCAAATCCCTGCAGTACTCACTAAATACTTTCACTGTACAGACTACAAAAATTGTAGTTTTACAAGAAGCACACCTCTACTTACTAAAACATGCATACATTTTAAATTGCATTTATTAATTTCATAAATTGCAGTATGTATTTAAGTATGCATTTACCATGCATTATTAAAATTAATAATTAAAATATTAATTTTCTAGTATTCATGATTGGGAAATTCAGCATGGCATATGTTTTACATGGCTAAAATAAGTAATTTCTTGTTTTATTTTCTGAGTCTCCTTCTCTGTGAATGCACACATATTATTTGATATCCAGCAATCTTCCAGCTCTCTGTATTCTGCCATGTACAGCTGTATTTGGATCACTATCATAGGACAAATCAATGGGACATTCAATCTTAAAGTACAGATGCAACTGACTTTTTTCAGTAATCATCCTAGTGTACGATTTCTAGTACCAAAAAAAAAAAAAAAAAAAAAAAAAAAAAAGCATTCACAGAATCTCCAAAACACCATCTTAATATGGATTTTTTTTTTATTTCTGACAAAGCTGCCTAGTCTCAGAGAACCTCAGTGACATTATCCCTTGGTGGCTGGGCACGGCATCAGGCTCCCCAGAAGGTGCTCACAGTTCCAGGACCGACAGAGCCGCACAGCGCTCTCAGGCACACACGGTGCGACTCTTGCTACGGCCTTCCATGATCCCTGTGTGTTCCTTCCATCTCAGGATGTTCTGTGATTCTCTGAAACTCTTAACACCTGGTGAGCTCTAAAAAGCACCAAAGCCCCCCCGCCCCGGCGTTCCCTCGAAAAGAAGGCGAAGCAGTCCGGTCTGTAAACCCGGCCCCTTCCTGGGCCCATGGCAGGAAGCGGCAGGGACAGGCAGGGACAGGCAGGGGAGCGGCCGGGAGCGCAGCGAGGCACGGGCCCGCCCCCGCCGCCTCCCCGCGGCCGCGCCTGCCCGCGGCGGGAGCGGGACGCGGCCGGGGCGGAGCGCGGCGGGGCCGTGCGGTGTTTGAGGCGTTTTGTCCCGGCCTAGGGCGCGCAGTGCTGCCGTGGGAGACGAGGGAGGATTGAAGCGAGATGCGATCAGCGCGGGGGCCCGGCGGGGTGGCGGGGATGCCCGGCGAGCTCAGCCTCATGGATAGGGGCGTTAAGAGGTGAGTGTGGACGGGCCGGGGAGAGGGGGCCGCGGCGTAGGGCCGAGCTGCCGGCTGACCATGGGCTCCTCTCCGCAGCCTCAAAGATGTGTCCCTGAGCTCGGACCTGCACACGCTCAACGCCCACTGTAACCTCATCACCAGGATCCAAGGGCTCGACCACCTCCGGAATCTGCAGCACTTGGATCTCTCATCAAACCAGATCCGCCGCATTGAGGGGCTCGATTCCCTGGCTAAGCTGCGTACCCTGAGCTTGTCCTGCAACCTACTAACCAAAGTGGAGGGTCTGCAGTGTTTATTTCTGTCCATTTAGCAAGTTACAAAGATTTTCTAAGAGTCGACTTAAGGTTTACTTCTGGAATGCTTGAATATAATTAAGGTTATGCTAAGTTATTATGAGTTAATATTCTAGCCATTTTATAAAGTAAATTTTAAGATGAGTATGTATAGTCTTTGTAAGCCTTATCAGAGCAAAATGCCTTAATTTAGAGTAAAAACATGATTTTTATAATATGATTATAGATTAATGTCATAATTCGTAGTTATGATCTTTAAAGGTTCACTTTGCAAGCTTTGAGTTTCATGAAAGCAAAGCATTCTCTGAAAATCCTACTGTTTCTATTTTTTCTCCTCATTTTGTTTAGGACTGGAAAAACTCTTTAATTTATGTATGCTGAACTTGTCATATAATCGCATACACGATCTCTCTGGTAAGTGATGTTGTCATGTGCTGTGGAATACAAAGCATCTGTCTCATTTTAATTTTGAAAAAATGACCAAGTGTATTTTGAGAAGTTTCTAGCACTTCAAGTGCCAATTCACTAAATAATTCTAATACAGGTGGCAATTGCTGCTCTTCTCAGCTGTAAAGTTTTTAACACCAAAGATTTTTCTGAACTGGAATATATTCTTCTGTGTTTGGTGAGGCCAAGCTTATTCAGAAAGTAATACAGTAAATTTCATACTTACTTCCAAAATATTTATATCTTTCATTTTTATAGAACAAAAATGCAACTTTACATATGATATGTAAGTTCTCTTGTATATCTCTGTTGAAATGGTGAGTAGTTCTTACAATTTCATGCTGCAAAATCAAGAGAACTTGTAATAGAAAATTAAAAGAACATTAGTAACAATTTTGTTAGTGAGCTTGTATGAAACTTCCAGGGTTTATTTTTACATGCTTCTTAACAGCTGGAGATGAATCTGTTTCTTTAAAGTTAGCTCATATAGTAGCTTAAGTGTTGTACTTGGTGGTAGAGTAGCATAGGTAATTAATATGTAGACAAGGATAGGAGCAAATGTTGTTCCATCATTTTTAGTTATGGTACATTATTTACTGAATATTTTTCAACAAGATGCCATTTGTTCTAAACCCCATAGTCTAGGATTGTAGCAGAAAACATTATTTTGTGGTTGTTCGCTTTTTTTCCTGAAATTTCCAGGATTTCGATCCCTTCATGGAACCAGACATAAGATCAGCCACATTGACCTTCACAGCAACTGTGTAAGCAATATTAATCACTTGCTTCAGTGCACGAAGGGGCTGCGCTGTTTGACAAACCTCACGCTGGAACGAAATGGAAAAGCCAATCCAGTTTGTCACGTAGCAGGTATGGATATGATCTTGCCTACATGATTTGTGCTCATTAGGTAAGTGATTTCCTTTAAGCTGTGAGCCGTTTACTGAAGCTTGCAAATTCATTTGTAAACTGGCCAGCCTGCAGAAATCTAAGTTCTGTCAAAATGAATTCATTTTCCATTTTAAAAAATCCTTTTTTTTTTTTTTCACAACAGCATATTCTCAAAATTGTAAATTGTATACTTCAATAAGGCTCAACAATTTCACTTATGAATCCAGAGGAGGGCCACCAACATGATTAGATGGATGGAGCACCTCTCCTATGAGGAAAGGCTGAGAGAATTGAGATTGTTCAGCCTGGATAAGAGAAGGCTTCAGGGTGACCTAATTGTGTCTTTGAAGTACTTGAGAGGAGTCTAAAAGAAGGAAGGGGAGACACTCTTTCCAAGGGCATGTAGTGACAGGACAAGGAGGAATAGCTTCAAACTGGAGTAGGTTTAGATTAGATATTAGGAAAAAATTCTTTACTTTACTGTGAGGATGGTGAGGCACCGGAACAGGTTGCCTAAAGTGGTTGTGGATACCCCATCCCTGGAAGCGTTCAAGGACAAGTTGGATGGGGCTCTGAGCCATGTGGTCCAGTGGAAGGACATGAGTATTAATATTTATAAGCTGGAAAGGTGGAGAACTCAAAGAATGTGCATAGAGATACTGAACTTGCAGACAGCGGGCAGTCACAGGAAGTAGGTAGTCTTCTACTGATAGAGACTGCAAGAGAAAGATCAGTAACAGTTAGCTTTGCCTGCTCTTCCCCCTGCTTTGGTTAGCAGTGGCAGACTCTAGGGTCCTCTGCAGTAATTAGCATTGTCACCCAAATAGGTGTCAGGTGTTTGACTAGGCAGCTGGGAGACAAGTTGGAGAATGCATGTAGATATATCACTTTCAGCTGCATTTGAGCTTCTCGTTTGGGGGTAGGTTTTTCAGGCCTTTCAAATGTTACACTCTTAAGTTCAAAGAAATTGTAGCATTTTATATTGGTGTGGGTTTTTTTATTTTCTTTGTATGTAAGAGGAAAGTCTTACAGGAAGGTAGAAGTAAAAGATTGATGCTTTTGCAAGACTTCAGAGGTAATTTCAAAGAGTAGGACAGTAGGAATTACAACCATTCAAAATAGCAATCATATCATGAGCATACAATTGATACAGGTGTAATGTATGTATGGTTAAAAAAAATATCAGGTATTACTGAGGACAGCCAAATAAGGTTTTAAG